GCATGTCTCAGCCAAGGAAAGAACCGAGTTTACCTCTTGATGCCTTTATTAATTAGGCCACCGTAGCACATAGTCGATAGTAGAATTAGCAAATTTAAAGACATCAAATTCCAACTTTAGTCAGTACACATATTCTACCATACCCTAGTGCAGTGATACTCAAAGTGTGCTCCGCAAAGCCTTTGTGAGGTCTTCGCGAAGAAAAATAATAGTCATCATAAAAAAAAAGAAGCAGTAGTATCGCTACAAGAAGGAGGGACCTGTCTTTAGGTTGAGCGCCTTTTTTTTTAGTAATGTGTTTGGGGCTCCGTAAAATATTTTGCTTTTTAAAATGGTTCCGTTGCCAAAAAGTTTGAGAAAGACTGCCCTAGCGCTTTCAATTCCCCATGAAGCCACCAATGCAGCATAGACGTGAAAGACGCCTGCTTGGCATGTACTATAATAATTATTAAAATATTTCCTTCATCTGTCAGTATTAATTTTTCACATTAAAGACAAATTTAAATAAATAAAGGAAAGAATATTGGTTTAATATCCGAAACCCAAAGTATTCTTTTGCAAATGTGAAAAAACTAAGGAACCCATCTCCACAATCTCAAAGTGAAAAAAAAAACAAAAACAATATTGAATTTTTTTCAAAATTTAAATGTGTCGATTTTTCTTTGGTTTATTTTCACTTTGGAGTTGTGAGAATTGAGTCCCTTATTTCCTATGGAGAACTGGGGTTAATTTTCATATTACCAAATGCAAACCATAACAGTTATAATAATTTACTCAGCTTTTATTCAGACAAATAATTATCAAACAGCACATCAAAACTTTAAATTTGAAACGTTTTCTTGGCGCGATATTTTATAAATTACTTAATGTTAGACCAGGTGCTTACATTTAATTAAGTTTGTGTACATTAAATTAATTTCGCCCCGGACTGTCTTTATAACGAGCAAACACGTTTTTGTTTTTCCTCGCTTACATACTTATTCAAGTAAGTATAGAAGCTTAATGAAAAACGCTTCCACATGAGAAACTGTAGGTGATTCTAAATTACTTAGGGAGTGTTTACATAGAAAGATAGGTATCACTAATCAAACACCGATATTCCTTAACCCCAAAGCAGTTCCGAACATATTAATATTAGATGACTTTGGTGTAGACGTTCAAAATCTAAATTGAGTTTGTGTACATATTTATTATCTAGAAGGTAGGTAGTCCGAGGAAATTAACGTTATACTTAATGAACCGTAAGACTATTTATATCAGTTGTTGTACGTTCATCTATCATATTATTTTGTAATGTTCTTGAAAACCCAATATCGGGGAAATATTTTTATAAACAATGCATCCATATACAGGGTGTCCCGAAATTAGACGGTCATATTTTAACAGCATAATCTATATCCTAAAATAGGAATAAAAGTTCATACAAACATAGATCCAAAAATGTTTGGTTTTCGAGATACAGGGTGTTATAAGTGAAGTCATGATGGCACATTTTTGTAAATATTTTCTAACATTTCTTTAGTTACCGGTTTTCCAAAGTAAAAAATAAATAAAATGTCTGATTCCACAGGCCTACTTATTATTGTTTAAACCAGTATTTCCCAAAGTGGTCCAGGTGGACCCCCAGGGGTCCACGGGAGACTCGACGGGGGTCTACGTTGGGCGTAATAAAAAATGGGGGTCCACAATCGTAAGCGGGGGTGCATGAAAAATAATTTGGTTTCGATAGTGAAGCAATATACTATTAAACAATTGATTACTCATTTTTCCATGTGATGAAGAAACTCTTGTAAAAAACTTCCACTACTTCTTATTTAAATTTAATGTTCAAAATTTTACCCCTTTGTAAGTAATATGAAATTTGTTTTCTGAAATATGTATTTGATGCTTAATATTTATTGAAACCCCTTAATGCGGATCTGAAGTATTCAGCCCAAAGGATCATGGCGCTTTATGTCAAAACGTTAATAAATATTTACCGCTGAAAACTTTCATAACATTGGTACTTGTATTATAAGTATATACAATTTTTTAAGATACATCGTGGTATTTTGAACTTTAACTTTAAATTGCTAAAACACCAACAAATAAATCAAAAACAGCTGTGAATGGTGATTGACAGTGAACTTGAAATTGAAGGTGAGCGTTGAATGGAAAAATCGGAGCAATTCGGGTGGCGTCGTGCGAACAATGATTTTCAATTGGTGGGTTACTTTGGGTTAAAATAGACAACATGCGCAGTGTGTAATGTTACATCTTCAGTCTCTTCTATCTAAGGTTATTATTTACATCGGCATAAGCTATTATCATTTTTTCGAGCGCATTCCGGAAAAGTCCCGGTTCGCTCGATTTACTGAAGCTGCCGGATCGTACAAGAATGTACTTGCAACGCTATCGTGGGCGCGTTATTGCGAAGTTACCTGATCTAAATCTTTTCTTGAATTTTTTTTGTTTTTAGTCATTATATCGAAAAAGGTACTCACTCCGAGTTCATCAAAACGATGTAGGTGAACAATATTGTCGGAAAGAAAAAACAATCTCCAATTTCTACGGTTATTTACATTTTTGTCGATATTTCCAGCGCTGCTGGCCTCGTATTGCGGGAAAGCAAAAATGTATCTCAATCTGAAAACTGATTAAAACAAACGACGTCAGCGCCATGTATGCGTCCCAGAACAAATCTATAGAGTCAGAATGCGCAATGAATACCAATGCAACAAGAGCGAGTTCGATGTTCGGATTCGGAGCCATAAATATTTGGACCGTATTGGATGTGGGACTATACACAAATAGAGACTAAAGCGTTTTCCATTTAGTTCGAAAAAAAGTTATATCCAATAGATTTTCGCGAATGGGCCATTAGCAGAGCAACAATGATATAACAGCACTTTTATTTAACTAGAAATCGTTTTCGAGGAGAATTGCGCATTGCATTTCAATTGTCTTTTGCTGCGGAGTTTTCTTTCGGAAAAATAATGAGGTGCTTATAGCTTTTCTCATTGAACAATTTTATGATCTCCAGCAATTCGCTCGTAAATATAATTTACTAACAGAATAGTTTGTCATTTTATTCAGGGTTCGTGACTTTTGTTATGGCTTCTTTCCTCGAGTTCTTAGATCTACCTATTTTACGATGTTGTGAGCAAATTCATTTTATTACTTTCTTAGGTTGCCTCCCCCCATTCAACTGGATATGGCCATTGTCTGTACATAAAATTTTTTTAATGTATTTTCATAGAGAAAAAAAATGCTAAATAAATTATTTACTTTAAAAAAATACGGTAATATCACAAGTGAGAATTTTTTGAGAAAATTTCGTCATTTCTTTAAAATTTATGAGTCTTAAAATAGGAAAGATTTTGTTGGATAAAATTTGCATGATTTGTAAGAAAATAACAATATTTTCACAAAACTAACTCCCCGCGAGGTATTCGGAAAGATTATATAACAATATAAAACGAACTTTTATAAACATTTGCTTAGTTTCCGTAATATTAACTTAAAACTAATGTCGATTATTTGTTTACAATGTACATTCGAGCAAAAAAAACTATTTTGTCCATTCACCTTTTTGACAAACTTAACACTGATGTTTCGCATAAATCATTGATACATTACTCTGGTAATAAATTTAAATTTTTTAAATCCAACCTTTTTGTCAAATTTCACAAAGACATTTCGCATAAATCACTGATACGTTACTCTGACAATGAATTAAATTTTTTAATTCTAACTTTTTTGACAAACTTCTTATTGACGTTTTGCACTCTGGTAATGAATTGAATTTTGTAAAAAAATCAATCGTGGTTAAGTAAAAGTAAAGTAAAAGTCTTTGTTGTAATTAAAGATGATTGTCATTGGTTGATGTATTTTAGCGTTAAATAATCAAGAGTAATGTAACAAGACCCTGATAAATATTCGACTATTTTATTATATCTATATTTTAAGTGTTTTTGATATCAATTTTTCGAGACTTAATTTTGTCATTAATATTCTGAATAGAGTCTGAAAGCTTTAGCTCGAGGGCCCTTTTCTTTGATGAGTATTTTAATTATAATGAGTAATAAATCTAAAAAGTAGGATGTGTCGTTAGAACTGAGACTAGCGTACTGACTTGTCATGCGGAAGGTTTGGGATTCAAATCTAGGATTGAATAATATTTAAATGAAATCTTTTCTTTCAAGTTTATTTTATTTTATAAATTTGTATACATCATACATTGTTATTGATTTGAAGAGTTACAGAAGAAAATAGATTGGAGTCCATTTTTATTAAAAATGAAATAACACCGCCATCTTGTAGTTTTAAACGCAATCTTTCTGTTGGTATAGCTGAAGTTTGAGTAAAACTTAAAATTAAAAGCCATGCAGCGTTAAAATGGGGTTGTTAACTTTGTTTTGTTTATTCTACGAAAATTAGTTTTTGTGACTCTGATCATTTTCCCCCTGTGCTCTTCAATTAATTATTTTATCTTAATTAATTTTTAAAATTTTGTAAATTTTCGTTAATGGGTCGTAGAAAAATATACTGTAAAACTCAAGTGGATTGTTTGTATCGCACTTAGAGTTTTCTTCCTCTTCCATGCAGAATCTATACGTGGCGGGATCATTGTGTAATCCCATTTTATGAAGGTGTTTTAGTAAGCAGTGTGATACGAGATGTATTTATTGGCTATCCTGGGTCCGTTTACGACAGCAGGGTTTTTAGAAATTCACCGCTAAGTGCTCAACTTGCTAACCGGTGTCAAGATATCGATCTTGACTTATTGTGAAAAAATTCCTATATGGAAAACAGAGGTCGATATTTTGGTTCCAAAAATATCGAGCTTGGAAGTTAGGCGAAAAAATAGGTGAATCAGATTATACGTAATTTAAACCATTATGAACATAAAACATAATTATTTAAGTAAGTACATAAAGAGTAGAAATTAATACAAAACTTAGTAATTAAAAAAATAATTTATAGAATTGAGTTGAGATTAGCAAAACTTTCCTTATTGTTTAATAGTCTAGCAAATTATTTCTTTTTTCTAATAATTCGTTTCGTTTTCGTCTAATTTCTAGCATCTCTTTCTCAATCTCCAGCATTTGATCTATTCTGTACTTTTCCATCTTAAGTCTCTCTTCTTGGTACTGTTTCCTATCTAGACGTATTTGTTCAATGATAGAATCTTTTTTATACTTTGTGCTACTTATCCTTGTTTGTATTTTACTGGGACTGGAGGGGAGAGCCTTTGCCTTTGGTGTTTTTACAATAATTTTTTTTGTGTCGTCTCTAAAATCTGGTTCAACATTTTCAATTTCACTCAATGTAACCTCCGAGGTAACTTCTAAACCTTCTTCATTAGGCGAATACGGGTTTGTTATTGTGGAAGATAAGGTTAACAAAATTTCGGGGTTTATGTTTCTTTTTTTTTTTAAATATGGCATTCATTTCGTCTGCAAATTCGAAATATTTCCTCCCTCTTCCTGTTTGTGAGTTATTTTTAATATATTTTTTATAATTGCTCTCTAATACACGTCACCGATTCTCACAGTTTGCTGCTGTATATTTAAGTTTGTATGTTTTGAAAATATATGTAGCTATGACGTCCCACATTTTTTTTTCAAATTTCTCATGTCCATACCACCTACCTTAGATCTAAACATTTTATAGCAGTCTATAAGAATCAAGGAATTATCTTTCGTCCAGTGCTGATTTGTCTCATCTTTTTTATTTACTGTTTTTGTGGTAGAAGCGGTGGAAGGTCCTGGTGGCGATATTATGCAGGAATACTGCTCTTCAGGTACAGGAACACTAATTGTGTTGGATGAAGTTTGAATGATTAGAAATTCAGATATATCTACAAATACAAAATCAGTAATTCAAGGAAAGAAACCTTACTAGTACAATAACTCACCGTTGATATCAAAAAGATTATCCATTTTGAGTGAGGTATATCAATGTTGAATTATTGTCCTTAATTCACTGCTGGTAAAATTAATGCCGAAAACAAAATTACCTAATCTCAATTCTTTCTCTCGGTCAAAATAAACAACATAAACCATAAACATTATTTGACAGTTTTAAATTTGACTTAACACAAGAGGTGCGTTCACGTCCAAAGTGAACGCACCCAAGGCCGCGAACTCGAAATGTCACATCACTCGAAAAAAAGCCGTTCTAGCGAGAAAAAATTCCAAAACGTTTGCGACCAGATTTCAGAGCGATTATGCGCATTGAACGGTCCACTGAACTACCTTTAATTGAGCTTCAAACCGTCAGAAATAACATGCTAGAACAAACCTATTATGAACCCACTAGTTCTCGTTTTCTCTAAGAGACAAAGGAAATAACAAAATACAAGACGTTCCATTTCCTAAAAAAAGGAAATAATTCCAAATAAAATAATGTGAGCAAGACTTAAAGCGAACGTTGTTCTTAGGAAAACAACTCCTCCTTTGGCTAATACCCTAACAGGCATTGACTAATGTTTTAAATATTATTCTTTTCTATTCTATTGAAAGTGTTTAGATTTGATGCACATGGTTTATAGATAAAATATTTATTTCAAAACAACAAAAGTGTTATTGAGAACGAAATTTGGAAAATTGAAAATTTATCAAAAAAAAAAATAAATAATACTTCTGTTGACCTCCGGAAAAAACTACACAAAAAAAATGAAAAAGTGTGATAAGACTTTTGTTTGGACTATTTTTCCAATTTGCACCATTCTCAATGGCAAATGTAAATACGCCATTTTTTAAATAATTGAACAAAGAAAAAATATAGGCATTCTCTATACAGTAATTACCCTTTGTAGGCTTTTTCACAACTCCGCAAAACCATTTAAGTAGATTTCAGAGCTGATGCGGCCAACTACCCCATTGTTTCGATGTTCATTTCAGTCTCGCTACAATAGCGCAATGAAATATAGGGGTCATTATTTAGAAATCTCTTTGTTATCGTTTCCTACTCAAAAAATATTCCACTTTTTTTGCTGAAACGTATATTGTTTGTTATACATCTCACATTTACAAATTATATCATGTGAATGAGAGCGTCAAAAATAGTAACAATGGACCGGCAAATAAGATGTTTCAAGCTTTTCCAAATGGAATCCTTTCATTCCAGTTTTGAAATGGCGCGGTCGGTTGGCAGCGCTAAACGTTGATTTATTCTATTTTGCAAATACAACCGAGGATATTTCGACAGGATAACGGATTGTTTAATGTTATCTTTATGCCCTCTATGTATGAACGTATGTTTATATACCATTCATGTGGTCACCTATTTTCAAATAAAACTGGCGAACAGAGTACAAGATTAAAACAGCAGTATACGTACGTATACTGCTATTTTAAGGGAGGAAATTGTTAGTCTGGGTGACGATAGATATAAAGATGTATTTACGAAAATACTAAATATTACTTAAAGATTTAGGTTCAGTCTTTTATTAAAATGACAATTATGGCAATTCATTTTTCTGGAGACCATGACAAGACATTTTATTGCAAGATGTTCTATCAGTATTTCAAAAAATCATCACTCCTGTGATAATATTGATGGCTAAGAGCAGAGTTAAAAAATAAATCAAGAAAAAACTGGATCAGCTGGTTATCATCACTTAATAAAAATACACCGTCTGCTTTACTTTGACAAAGGGCAAGAATAATAAATAGAACTTGTTCATATAAATCGATCCTTTTTTTTTAAATCGCGTTACCATCGGTTATTTAACCTATTAACTATACAGAACATTATAATCCAGGAAATCACTTTCTTTTAAAACCACTGACACTTAATGAATTAAATTATGCTCTAAAAAATAACAATAATACTAGCCCTTGATATGACAATATCAAATATCCCATGCTCACACATTTACCTCTAGCAGTTAAAATACTACTTCTTGATATTTTTAATAATTTCATATCACATGGAATAGATGAAGATAGCCTTAAAAAAGCCATTGCAGTTCCAATTTTAAAAAGTGGAAAAGATCCAAATTTGGCCCAATCAAACCGGCCAATTTCACTTCTGTCTTGTGTGTTGAAAACCTTTGGAGCGCATAATCAAGACTAGACTCGAATGGTGATTAACTAAAGAAAAATAACTCCTAAGTAATCAGTTTGGATATAGAAAAGGATATGGAATGATGGATGCTCTCTCTACTCTGAGAACAGACATTCAAAACAATTTCTTCCGAAATAACTATTTATCTACCCTTTTCATAGATATAAAAGGTGCCTATGATAGTGTAGATCTATCAATATTAAAGATTAAGATGATTGAAGATATCAAAATTCCATCTTTGATTGCTAATATAATTATAAAATTTTATTGCAGCAGTAAGAGACCATGAAAATAGGCTCGTAGGTTCTCGTTACACCAGTATTGGTCTACCACAGGGATCTTTTTAGAGTCCCTACTTTTTAATATTTATACCGCCAGTTTACATAAAATTCGTTTGATTAATATACCGTTCAAAGTCATCCAATATGCAGACTATATATGTATCTACACGGAGCAAAAGAAATATGACTCTTTCCTTACAGTTATGTCTATTTTGCAGTCTTGGTGTCGTATTAATGGTTTTGAAATTTCTACCAACAGAACTGTTGTATGTATTTTCACTCGACACAACACACCTAAAGCCGGGTCCAGATCAATAAGTTTGTCTGTTGAATTTTGTTTCTTGAATTTAACAAAAATATTTGCGGTGCAAATATTTTTTCCTACGACCACTTAGGAAAGTGACACATATCACACTATATAGTCCTATGGAAAGTGTCCTATATCACACGCGTATGACTAAGAATTTACTTTCCACCCAAGTGAGAATATGTTACTTTCCGCAGTAGTTGTCAAAAAATGTCAAACGCCTAATTTCTATTTTGATCTATGTAATGTCCATATTAATACTAAAATCGATATGATTGTTAAATTATTGAAATTGTTTTAAATTAGATCCTAGATATTTATCTTTAACAATTATTATTAAAATAATTTTAAAATAACTAAGATTATGTTTGCTCTTTAATTTGGGTAAATACATAACCGATTAGATCATTCAATTGACGTAAGGCCCATTAGCTCAGTTGGTTTAGACGTCGAACTTATCAACTTTGCCATTTTTTGACCGCGTTCAATCTATGGTTCAAATCCTGGCGGAGCCGAATTTTTTTTTTGTTTTTTTTTTTTTATTTTTTATTAGTTTTTTTTGTTTAGAAAATATGAAAATTGAATAAATACGATTATTGTTGATTATTTTTTTAAATACATTTTAATTAATATAGTAATAATAACCTTGGTTTTACATTTTTTTGATATTATTTTGTAAGCTAATTTCTATTTTGATCTATGTAATATCCATATTAATAGTAAAATCGATATGATTGTTAAATTATTGAAATTGTTGTAAATTAGATCCTAGATATTTATCTTTAACAATTATTATTAAAATAATTTTAAAATAATGTTTGCTCTTTATTTTGGTTAAATACATAACCGATTAGATCATTCAATTGACACAAGGGCTGTTAGCTCAGCTGGTTAGGACGTCGAACTTATCAATTTTGCCATTTTTCGACCGCGTTCAATCTATGGTTCAAATCCTGTCGGGGCAGAATTTTTTTTTTGTTTTTTTTTATTTTTTTTTTATTTTTTTTTTATTTTTTTTAGTTTTTTTTGTTTAGAAAATATGAAAATTGAATAAATACGATTATTGTTGATTATTTTTTTAAATACATTTTAATTATTATAGTAATAATAACCTTGGTTTTACATTTTTTTGATGACATTATTTTGTGGTCGTAGGAAAAATATTGTACATCACTTGTGTGAAAAGTGATTTTCCACACTCGTGTGATAGTCGCACTCGGCTTGCGCCTCGTGCGACTATATTTCCCACTCGTGTGAAAAATGTCACTTTCCACACTCGTAATGTAATATACTATTTTATTGTGGCTTTGTCGCGCAAATATGTGTATTGTGTAGGTCTATCTATTGCGATCCATTTTCGTGCATCGTGCGTAGCAATAATTTGTGATTGAAATAATAGTACAAACTAAAAAAAGTCCACATTAAAACGAGCACTCGAGGATCGTTCGACGCAAATCTCTTTGAAGTTGGCAGAAAAACCGACAGACCGGTGGATAGCGTGTGTTGTATTTGGCGCAAATACTTGCGTGTTTCTTTGTGCGGCGCACAGTCCACAAATCGCTGGCGATCGACTATGCATACGGGTGTTAGACTTTCTGCAGAATCATCTACCACTACTATTGGAAAATGTTCCACTAAATATAAGACGCCGAATGTGGATATTACATGATGTACATCATGTTCAACCAGTTCGCAACTTCCTGAATCATAATTTTGAAAACAGGAGAATTAGAAGAGATGGTTCAGTTATGTGGCCTCCCAGGTCCCCTGACCTCACTAAAGTAGATTTTTTTGTGGGGTTTCGTAAAAAAGAGGTTTATAAAACTAGTCCATTAACGAGCGAGGAAATGAAGGAAACAATAAGACAAGTGTTCGCGAGCATAGATGTACAATGTTTGAAAAACGTTCAAAGA